GAACTGACAGTAGTCCAGAAAGGGATATATAACACTGCCTCGGATATTTTTCAGTCTTAATCTCTTCACATGAAATAGGTACGAGAGCAAACAGAGACGCTGAAAAAACTGTTGTTCGTTGGCGATTGAAGAAACCGTTTGTGGTGAGACAGGCCAGGGGATCAGAGACAACGAACTCCACCACTATTTCTCAATTTCACATCCTCTTTTCTGGGCTCTCTCACAGCACGTTAAGATTTCCGAGATCATCTCCAACGTCACTTGCGTAAGGAGTAGAGTTATTAACGGCAGAATGCGTGGTTCGCCCCTGCCTTGCTTCTTTCGCCAGTGATTTGCTAGATTTATTTCAAAATGGCAGGTACTTTTGGTGTGCTGCTGATCTGAAATTCTCCTGCCGGTACAAACTGAAGAAAAACGAGTTCGGAAAACGAGTTTCAGGCTTTGCTCTGTGATGCAGCACATGACGTTCTTCCACTTCTTGGCAGAAATGCTCAGTTATATTTTCTCTCGACGATCATCCGCCTCACCTAAGCTTGGGCAGTCACGACAAAGATGTTCAAGCGGATCACCACTCTTTTCCTCCATTCAGAACAATCCTCACAATTTACGCGTGTTAAACCCACAGAAATCATCTTCCGTTGATTTTTTAGTCTCACTACCAGGTTTCATCTCGAGGGGAATGGTACTAACTCTGATGTCCGCCACCGAATAGGGCACACCGTCCTAATATTCTGAACTGAAACCATACAGGACACCAGTGATTGCCACGGTTCCAAAACATTAATTAAACTGTTCATGGCATCCACCGCTCCTCTGAACTCGTGTGACCCTCATTTAAATAATATAGAACCGCACGGAATAAAATTTCTGATATATATATATATATATATATATATATATATATATATAAAATAAGGGGGCTCCGAACTTTTCCTTAAGTTTGAAAAAACGCGGAAAGACGCCAAATTACCCGAAGGATCTATCGGATTATCCGGTCCCTGGAGTTCTGGACGTTATGTGATTGTGAACGTATAAAGTTGACCGGGCAACTTACGTAAGACACGAAGACTGCTTACGCGCTCCAGGGAGGAACTTCGGTTTCACCCACCAGTTAATGATGACCAATGTGGACTTACGAATGACACACAAAAACTCATGCCTATATTCATAGACATGTGAACAGATACCCCTTCATGCTTACTTTTAAACTTGCCATTAACTCCTTTAGAGATTAAATGGATAAAGAGTTTTATGTAAAAGTCCGCATCCTCTACTTGGGTTGTTTTAAACTCCCAGACATAGGCGGGTACATCTGCCAATCAGCGTCCTACGTACGCGCAAAAAGAAAACGGCGGCCATGTAACAGAGGATTAAAATTTGTGTCGTATTCCCCACAACGGTTGCTACCGATTTGGCCTATTAAAACTAACAAGTGCAGCTGACGGAGAAAGGAAGACTGGCTGAAGAAGAATACCGCAGTAGAAGTTCACGGCAGCGACTCCCTAATGACTAAACCTTTCGTTGCAGTTCTTGTGAACTAGCGCCGTTTTGCTGCACGCGCATCTTAATGCAAATTCCAACCTTCCAGAATTCTAAAGCAACTGTCGATAGAAGTGAAGAGGCGTGTTCTTATAAGCAATTGGGAAGAAGGAGACGTGATCGCTGGAACAAGAGCCCTATTTGCCGGAAGTTCGGGTCCACGCTCGAATCTATCATCAGAGACAAGTCTAGATAATGGTATTTTTTGCTAACAGTGTTGCAGTCAAGGCTACAGCTGTCATGCCATTTCATGACCATCAGGGTTGGCGGCTCCTCCGTTCATCGCAGATAGCTGCACGTGGTGCGATAATGAATTGATTGCCCACAGTCAAATGGCTATTTACCGCAATCCCACCATTCGTGTGGCTTTTTGAGCCATTTTGACGCACTCACACTGACACTGGGGAACAGTGCTCATTCGTGCGCCCCCCCCCCCCATGACCCAGGCAAATTTCCAGCAATGATTATGGAGGGGAGAAGCTGGGCCTCACCGAACTTGAGTGTGTTGTGGGATCCCGTCGAATGAGCCGTGACTTGGGAGCTGGCATCGTTCTTCCTCACTGCTGTGGTTCGACCGTCTATCCGCCAAGCGCTGCTCCCAGTAGCTGTGAGCCATATGGCTCAATAGCCCGCAGAGTGATCAAATTGCAGGTAATCGAGCCATTATCGTATAACGGGTAACCGTCTGCGACGCATGCGGAAGCTTCCCAAGTTGATAGGCGTGCAGCGGAACAGTAACTGCATCCTATATATACAGCTAAATTTGTCAAAACATTTCGCTTATCTGACTCCGTCTGCGATAATCAACTGGAAGGCGAATCCGAAACGACAGCGAATAAAACTCTCGTTTCTGCCATTGTGTCCTCTTCCCTTATACTAAGGAAGTTTAACACAGTACTCATGTTCCCAGTGTCAAATGTGCCTCGTGAAATTTCTCATACTACAAGAAAAATTCAGTCTCATTTTGTCTATCTTACATCGTGGTGTAAAAGGAGGCAGAGTTCAGTGTTTTGAATCACCTTTTTGTTTTTATTAACGTCTCTCGATCAATTTCATGAGCCGAGTTCTCATTGTAGGTAGACCGTCAGGCACATACGTTCACATATCCCATGGCCCCGCAAGATTTATCACTGATCCGAAAGTTTGTGAAAGAACACGGCTGCCCAATACTTAAAGATATATTGAAAAAATCCCGCCGTCTGCCGCGATTTCCATAAATCGTACGGGCTGTCTGACCAACATGCCAGAGTAATCGATCAATTCTGGTCTTCCGCGTTCGGCATCGGGGGAGGAGTTCTCGCACCAAGCTGAAAAATAAACACAGAGCTCAAGTGTTTTCGTCGTTTCGATGCAAACACCTCTGAGCGAATGCTAAAGATATTGAAAATGAGCATTCAACTTCAGCAAAAACATAATTTGAAGGCGCACATTTAAACCTGCATTCTTTACTCCAATGGGCAATAAGGGGCGGCCAGTGAGGAGTATATTTAGTTTGTATGGTGCGAATTACGAGGTAATGGCCAAAAAGAACACGGAATAAACAAAACTCGAAAGGAGTACGGGAACAAAAATCAAGTGGGGGGCAGTCACTCGTTTAGGTTTTGCGGTGACAAACTTTTGGTTTTGTCCATCCGTCGACCACTGGGGCCGCCCGGACGACAATTGACATCAATCATAAGTCATGAAAGAGACAAAAGTCGCCATAGCATGGGCTACTGCTCAATAGATCGTCCGTGAATGGAAGCTCAGCTCAAATAATGACCAATGATGGATGATTAACGGGGGTTTCCAAGGGAAATGACATCGTAGATAGAAATGTACGTTAGGGCAAAATCTGGCATGGGACCGGCGAGCACCAACCTGACTTGATTGTTGGGCAAAACACAACAGTTCTGTCTTGTCCTGGGCTTCCAGTGTACATTCCTCGCAAAATTAGGGATAAAGATGTGGAATAGCTGATCAAGATTTATTGCTAACAAAGAAAATACAGAGTTGAGTAGTCCAGTCAGTCCCGTTTACCGTAACAAGTAACCATACCCCAACCGCGGGCCGGGAAATCCTGAGATGTCAACTCATGACCTGTTACTTTCCGCCTTTGATAGCTTATCTGAACGGCCACGTACGGATATCCTATGTTGTTTTTAAATGGGCGTCAGCAAACGTCACTTGTAGGTAAGCTTAATTAGTCATGCTCGCGACCAACAGAATAGAACATTAATCTCACTCGTCAGCTAAATACGTGTTAAAACAGTGAGTGCCCGCATCCAGGGCCATGACCGTCTAAGGGCGGAAAAAATGGCAAAAATAGTCATTCTTATTTTCCCATTTTGATCGGTGATACTCTTGATTAATGCTTCTCCGCACCTGCTCGCATGATTCCTTCAAATTAATCAACTTGTATGACTTGAGTCCTTTTTCCTTTTCCGTGTCTGACTGACTCATGGGTCTAGAAAGAAGATATCCACATGGCGGAGACCTCAGGAGTTGTCAAATTAAATGTCCTAGTCAAACCACTGCATGGCGTATATCCATCAGATCAGACGTTCAGGCACTTGTAAAAATCACGGCGATACTGACTTTTTCAGTCAGAGTCATCACACCGATTCGATTGTGAAATGTGTCCGGAGGTCCGATAACTACATGCAAACACTAATTTCTTAAGAGTAAGACGGTCAACTTGTGAAGTGGTAACAATAAGATGCGGGTACCACATCATTTCCCTGTCATTAAGGCCGTGTCACGATGTACATGTGTTGTTTAATATCGCAGATCGTTGTGGGGAAGAAATTGCCTCCTGGCTCACAGAGAGAGATTTGTCTCAGTGATTTAAGAACAGGGTCAAAACCGCTGTGTCTTCCCAGTGTGGGCTCTGGAGACGACTGACTCCTGGCAACAAACAAGCCAGAAATAGGCATTCTAATAAGCAGCGCATCCGAAGTCTTAATTGCGCACTTCATAGATGTTGGGCGGGTAACTTGACCCAAATGTGATTAAACTCGCGTCGTCCGACGGCGCCTCGTAACTCAAGTGGGTAGAGCGTTGGCTGTACTAAAGCCTTCCCCTTACTGCGTGGGTTCGAATCCCACCGAGGTGTCGAGTTTTTCACAGTTAAGTCTATATGAATCAACTGCGCACATCAATTCCTGCCTCTCCTCCTGCTCCTCGTTATCATTTCTTTTCGACTAGTACTACGACTTATACAGCTACGACAGCAGGGCCTCGCAAACGACGACATCTGACGAGTGTCCCACGGAGTGGACGCAGGAGCGGTGACTTGGGCAATATCTACCGTGCTCTCTTCTCCTTAACCCACTCAGCTCAGATGGCGAGATAAAGTCGAGACGACCGGAGGTGGGCGCAGACGCAGTGACTGACAGGGCTAAACCGTCCATCTACGCGTGCCACACACGAGCTGGCCTCCAGTCCATGTATACCAGGTTTTTGTAAGGGCGGCCCGGCTCTCACGTCAGCGAGACTTCTGAAGAATCTTGGATGGTTGCGAGCTGCTTCCAATACCGCCAAAAATCCTCCTCCTCCTCCTCCTCCTCCTCCTCCTCCGCATCATCATCATCATCATCATCATCATCATCATCATCATCATCATCATCATCATCATCATCATCATCATCATCATCATCATCATCATCATCATCATCATCATCATCATCATCATCATCATCATCATCATCATCATCATCATCATCATCATCAGCAGCAGCAGCAGCAGCAGCAGCAGCAGCAGCAGCAGCAGCAGCAGCAGCATCATTGTCGTCGTCAAAGTCAGCATCACCATCGATTGTGGCAACAGCGGAAGCGGCATTCAATGTCAACTTAGACTAATTGAGGCCTGTAGGGCAGGAAAAGGGCCACTGAAGGACTGCAGACTATGGTCAAGGCAATGAAAGAAAGTGAAACTGATGGCAACAGCCACAGTCAAAAAATCTGAGTTAACGTCAGCTAACAGGAAATGATGGGAATGAATGTAAGGCAGTAAGTAGGACGCACTGTGAGAAGACAAGGACTTAAAAGCAAAGGCGCCGAAGTGCAGTTGTGTGGGTAGTCAAGTTAAATAAATTGTAGAGCAGAAGTGACCCACTAGCATGTCGGTATTGTTGTCAGGACTATATAATTTAAGTAATTTGTTTTTCTTCAGAACTTTGAAACAATGTTCTCCTTTATAATCAGTTGGCATTTGTCATGCAAATCTTCCTGGATGACATTTGTGATTTTCTTGATGTTTTTAGTGGAGACATTCGGCGATAATAACAACCGAGTAAATCCGAAGCAGAGTCAAATAAATCACCAATTTTAAAAATCGTGTCATTTCGGGCAATTTTTTTCGAAATCAGCTAGTCATAAAATCGATGGATGTCGAAATGCTCTCTGCTTCCATAAGCTCCAATTCAGCATGCTAAATTCTCCAAGAAACGTCTGCTTTTTCCCGTAATAATTCAGAGTTTAATCGTGAAATGAGATTTTCTCGACCGTGCATCGGTCTGTGTGACAGTCTGTAACGTTAGTAGTTGAGCTGCAACAGTCCCTAAGGACGGCAAGTGCAGAAACTGTTTCCGTAGGCACTGGCCCTTGGATATCATAAAATGTGACCTGCACTTTTCTCAACATTGTAAACCAACGGGAATTCGAACCAAACCAAACGGATTTGGATAAACGCAACGAGCGAGGCGCGCAGACGCCCTCAGTGCAGCGAACCTACTCAATACGGACTCGCGTGTTCGTGTGCGCCACTAAGTAGTTCCTTTTTTCATCTTTTTGGATTTTTTTACCTCCTCGGCTGCGCGAGCTGCCGCCTCTTCCTGTCGCCGTTTGTCCGCAGCCAGCTTGGCCTCTACCACCTCCTCAGGCGAAAAATTGTCCTTGTCCAGTCGACGAAGCGTCAACACAGTCATCAGAGTCTCCATCCTATAATTGGGCACTCGCTGAATCGGGTTATCTAAGAACGTTGGTAAGACAAAGGTAGGCATGCAGATGTTTGCAAGGCGGTAGAAATGATACGCAATAAACTGCTAACAGCAGGAGTGGGCGGCAAAACTAGACGCATAACAAGTGGGAGTTGGACACGGAAACAGGGATTTCCCCTGTGCTACATGTGACCTCACGCCACATCCCCGGAAGGGCGCCTATCCTGGGATCTTAATCTTGACCCCAACCTTATCTTAACTCCCTGAGAATTTGGCGCAAGGCCACCTATGACACGAGGAAGTCCATATACTCGTGCCCAACCCTAATGAGAAGTGGCATTACGTTGGGGTACATCTGTGACCCATCTACGCAATGTGGTTGTGTGTGTCGATGATTTACTGGCTGAATAAGTACACGATAAGGTCCAAGCACATGCTGTCTAGGTCTACCTGTCTCCCCCTACCTGCCAGAATTATGGGACTGCTGTATATGTGCGTTGACTTAGAAAATTATGCAAACATTCGCTTCTACCTATTAATTTCAACTGTCAGATTAGTGATTACTTAAAGCGCGACCAGGACTTCGCTCGAAAAGAAATTAAACATTTCAATTATTTTTTCAACTCAGAGTTCTCAGCTTTTGTGCAGTCCTCAAGCAGTTGTAATCAATTTTCGAAGAAATACGCATTGTGTGGTCCAGGGTCATCATATATACCCAATAGCTCACTGAGTACTGCTTTGCATATATATTTGACCACTCTCAGTCAGTCATTTTTTTCATATTATTTCAGTAGAAAGGACTCCGCTTAGAAAATTCGTCAAATGGTTACTGCCAATACTGACTAAGTGGCAGTTTTAGAAAGCTGTCGAAAAGAAATAGAGTTGACCTCCGAGCCAAACGATTTGTTTGTCAAAATTTTCGTATAAATGCTCGGATCTAGCACCAGAAACAAGCGAAAGAAGTTGATAATAGGCCCACTCCGGGCACCATAATAATCTGGGCAAGTCCAGGATGGCAGGGGAAGTCATGAAACACCAGTAATGAATACCTTATTCTGTACAGATTGCAACGTTGTTCTCTCAGGCACTACTTACACTTCCTAGCCCATTAATTTCTCTTGGGCTCTGTCGCGTTTGCAGAGTCATACCTTATCTCCGCGTCTGCGCCTTTAGCTCTCACCTGTGATAGCACCAAGCTGAACAAAAATTCATGTGTGAACTACGCACTACTGGTAGCTTTACCAGTAGGTGTGCTGTCCCGCGAAAAGTGAACCGAAATGTGATCTCGATTTAAAAAGATTGCTTAGGTAAGGTTGTAGTATTAATTAACTTGCAGCATAGCTACGAGATATTTCAGTCACTCCGAGATGCCAGCTTTGAAAGTACTTCCTGTCGACCGTCCGCAAAAGCAACATTTCGTAAAGGAGTACTACCTAAGTAATATAAATTTGCCCATTAATTTCAGACTCTCTTATAAATTCGGCTATATTTGGCAGAAGACATGCATAAAATATTCTCTTGTACTCATTTGCTAGCACATTACGTTTTCTTCAAATTTATATTTGAAGAGACAGTACCTCTTAGTTTCTAAAGCATTTCTGATTTCCGAACATTTTCATACCCCTCTGTCTTTACACTTGCATTTAAGGTTTCCAAACTACATGGTGTGTATACTCCGCCAAAGGGATGTTGTTCATTTCTGTATTCTTCTAGGAAAACACCATGTAGGATTCGTAAAATTGGGCAATGTATATGGACCAGGTGGTATGCTTAAAAGTAGCATTAATCAACTTGCTGATGGGATGTTGCATTACTGGACATTTCACGGTCTTAAGAAATCTCATAAGAAATTTTTTAAAACCGATAAACACCCTCTTTTGAGTATAAAATTTAAAGAGGACGTCATTTTCTACCAAATGAGTACGAAAAGAATATATTCGCGCACGTTTTCTATAAAATGTACATGAATTTATTAAGAGCATTGGAACCAAGGGGAAAATGCCATATAACCTAAGAAGCGATGTTTTACAGAGTATAATTCTTGTAAATGGCCGAAAAGAAGATTTTTCAAAATCCGGCATCCTGACGTAACTGAAATAGCTTTGGATTATGCTGCATGACGATCAGTATTACAATGCTACTTAAGCAACATTTTCGAACTTAAAACACATTTCAGAATTCGGGTGAACATTTCATGAGATAGTACATGTACAAGGGCAGGTACCATTCGCTAAGGTTGATTTCGGTCAACCTGAACATTCACATAGATTTAGAGATTGACCTAGCAAGTGCAACTTTGGGAAAGAAAAAATTGTGACAAAATAATGATGAATTTGATAACTTTTTCACAGGAAAATAAGGTTGGCTGAATGAGGACACGAATAGGCCAGAAACAGTAACTGTTTTACCCTTATCAGTCTTTAACGCCCAAAAACTGTAAAACAGCTTTTAGAAATCTGAATTTTACTAGTCCGCAAACACCAACACGGGACGGTCAGTTAAAATCCGCCTTAAATATAATATGTAAATTTTAAATTTTTTGCTTGAGAACCTCCTAAAATCAAATAGAGCAGGAAAATATCTCAGTCAAGCCCAAGACTATGCATCCCATCATACTAAAGGTGGTCTAAAACTAAATTCCAAGGGGCACCTATTCCCGTTTCCTTACTCTAGCTCTGACACTAACCCAAATTCTAGCCCTCCTAACTCCATCCCTAGTTCCAGCACTAATCCTCACAACCCCGACCCCCCTTAGAGTTTAACACAAGGCGACCTGCAATACCAGCGGTTCACATCCATATGTCTCATAAACATTTCATGCACAAAAGGCGGATGGAGATAGAGAGTCAGCCCTTCCATTCCAGCTTTGACCTCTTCCCGCTACTTCCACTAGCCTGCACCAGGCACTCCAGGGTCGGCTGACATAGCACGACTCCAGCCTGATTAGCATTCGCACATGGAGACAAATAACGTCGTACAAGGGAGGTAGACAATGATAGTTGTTGCTGGTACTGACGAGCATCAGTTAGCCTAAGCATTTTTCTCTTCAATAAAGACTATGCACAACCCTTTTACGCCTAATCCACGTATCAGATGACTAACCGGCTCCGACAGGGGGCTGATGCCTTGGAGAGGGAAGAGTAAAATCGACTCTGGGGCTTCCGTCTCCACGGCACTCAATACATATTCTCAATTAAAAACAGTCTGACACGCTTGGATCTATCACGGTGCACTGAAAGCGGTAGGCTTCCAAGGCTGCCAACTGACGGGATAATCCCCTCTTCCCCCCCCCCCCCTGAATGGTCATTCAGATTTCAATTTAACCCTCTCAAAGTGGCCTCTGTGGCATTCCCATTTGGTTTGGATCCGGCCGTGTCTTGACGCAAGGCCCGGACAGATGAGAGGAGAGTGTGATCGATGCGGCGCAAGTCTGCTATCATTATAAACTAACTCGCGAACAAGCCACCGTCACTGCGCCCACCTTTCTGTAGAAGACACGGTGGACATCATCAGTAACAAAGGCGAACTGTCATATAAACATTAGGATTGGGAGCAGAATTTCCTGAACTTATGAGAATGGATGAATCGAATACTTATGAGATCTGGATGCGACACTGACAGAGAGACACAGCTCAGATGCAAATTTGATTTTCTCGCCAAAAATATATGCCATTGTAAAGGCGCCTACCTGTCAGGACAAGACAACGCAGTTTAGGCAATTCGGATAACGGCTTCAGGTCCCTAACTGATTCAATTTCATTGTCTCTAAAAGCCAAATTGATGCAAAGTTAAGTGACGGATATGTAGCTGGAATTTCATTCATGCAGGGGAAACGGGAGACAGACTTAAACTTAGTCGATTCGCAATGTCATATAGCTTGACGAGTTAACAAGAAAGTCAGTGAGTCCTACGGTGTTACACTGAAAGTCGGAGAGTAGTATGGACGAAGCATGGATACCGGAATGGTCATTTCCCATTTGTTTGCCTTCATTAACTGACCAGATCAAATCGAACCGAAGTTCGAAGCCGCAGTCTGGTGATCACCGGGACAACAATTCCACTGAGTCAAAGGCTCCCATCGTTTCGGTTGTTCGCCAATTTGTCCTTCCTAAAATTGGTAAACTTCACGCCTGTGTGGAACTGAGTACCAATGTGCGATGCATCAGACATAAAACATTTGCCTCACAACATAGTGGGAGTCATAAATTAGGCAGAAACCGACTGAGCGTGTGCTGAAACAAGTGCAAATGAATGTGAAAGTATCATGTTTCCTTTAAAGATACCAATTTCTTCGACGAGATCGGTAATAGACGTTGGTAAATGTGATGAATTTTTTTCAATTCCGGCCGCTACCTTGCCTCATATCGTGAAGATTACCATTTACATCGTCAGAATGTGATTGTGAAGTCTTTCAAAACAATACTTTCGGAAAATTTCAGGCGTCCTATAGACATCAGGTATTGAGTGTGGATTAGTTATTAGCGATGCATCAGAATTATTAAAATAATTCAACATATTTCAGTATTCCACTATTATTAAATGCCAGAATATCAAGATGTTAACATAAAGGGAACAGAGAGGCTTCCGTAAAAACAATTATTTTGGTCGACGGCTCCGGAGTATTAACATAAGGTAAATGTGTACGCATGCAAGTCTGCAAACTGTCAGAAGTAAAAGAATCAAGGCGAGGTGGACTAAGCTCCTTCGAAGTGTCCAACCAGTGAAGGCTCAAACGGCCCTTCCGAATAATCCGGAACGGTACGTTCATAACTATTCCTCAGTACAGCTTGACAAAACTGTCATAGAGGTACTGTCTCTTGGTCCTAGGTTTTGCAATGCACGGCGGATGCCGAAGCAGCTAGAGTTAGAAGTCCAATTCGAAAGTCTATTCAGTCAGACTGCCGATCTAAAACCTAGCGGGCCTAGAGAAGTAGACTATCTGAAGTCGACTATGGTTAATTGCTGTCAACAGTACTTAAGAAAGGCTCCAAAAAACAAAGGTCCCTTAACAAGGGCCCATCTCGATAGCCTCAGCGAACTTCGTAAAAAAGGAAACATTGTGCTAACCAGGCCGGATAAGGGTTCAGGGGTTGTACTGATGGATAGAAAAGAGTACGTAGAAAAACTAGAAGTATTCTACATATCCCTATAAATCTTAACTTGTAGAAAATCCCTGATGGAGCCTCATTGTATCTAATTTACTGACGTTCGGGTTTGATCTCAGCTGTGAGCCTTGTGCTGGTGTGCACTGGTTTGTTATGGCTATAGTTTGCCGAACTGGGAAGTGTAACAGCTGGTGCCCAAGACCCCATGATCTCGCCGGCCGATGTTTGATCATGCACAACTGACTGCGACTCCAGTTCGACCGTCGCATGCGACGACGTCCTATGCGTGCCCCACCGAATCGGCTGGGCGCCGGCAACATGCGGACGAATTTGTTTGAGTGATAGAACACTCCTGCGGCATCTACTGCACTCCCCCCCCTCCCTCACCCGCCAGGCTTCGATGGCAAGAAATGGCAAGACGAACAGAGGTGGGGGCGGCATAGTGACTGGCAGAACTGAGCAATCCGTCTACGCGCACCACACACGACCCCATCTGCAGGAAATGCATCGGGTTCCCGTAGAGACGCCCTGGGACTCACATGCTCGAGAGTGCCACTGAGGCCACCTCGAGGGGGTGCTACTGAGTCTGACCCTTAGTCCTCCGGTTGCTCCAAAATATACTCATGGGGACCCAGTTATCCTGCCACTTGGCAACCCTCAAGTCCGCGACTCTCTTATAATTGAGGAATGTGCTAGTTTGTCGTGAGTATCTATTCCTCAGTGTCAGCCCCGCTCTCATTTCCTTCTCTCATGCTCTCAATCGAGTGCCCGAGCCTGACAGTAAACTGGTTATGTGATTAAGCGCAGTGGTTGACAGCGCAAAAAAGCCCGTCTACGCGCGCGCGCGCGCACATACGACCTGGTTTCCATTACACGCACCAGGCTACATTGAAGAGCGTGCTCCCCATTTAAATGAGATGTGCATGGCCAGACATATAATGCTCCGCCACCATGATGGCAGTGAGGAAGCCGAATCTTATACCTTGTGTAGACGGGAGACACGGTGTTACGTGGGTGGTGTGTATGTGCGTGTTGTGGATTAGACACATAGGCCGTCTATGGAAATGTCTACGGAAAGTAGGGCGAGTTTTGATGACTGTATCTGGGCTGCGGTTTCTACCGAAGATTTTCATAGAGGCGCATGTGGCCAGCCAGACCCATGAGGTGTGGGCAAGCAAGGGGTCCGCGATGAGTGTGTGGGGACGCCGTACTGGTTCTCCGGTCTCGGTGCCATGGTTTGGCAAGTGCACGGTCAGACCGATGCATGCTCTAAATGTGCGTTGTAATAGAGATCGGTTGAAACTAAGTCAACATTCACGGTCGTAGGGGCAGGGCAGGGACGTTTTACAGTATGGTGAACGTGCTCTTACTGTATTGCTGATTGTGGCAGTAATTATGGTGTATTATGAAATGAGAGGCGAGAGGGTCGTTTTAACATTACAGGGGGTCCTCAGACGCCCAACGAGGCTGATCCGCGTCCGGTATTTCCGCAGACAATGGGGACACGATGGCAGGGGTTGGGTGCTTACGTCACTGATCAGTGGCACTTGAGCCTTGCCGGTCTCTCCTTTTACCCTTAGAGCAGTTATTTTACTGGTTTCGAAAATGGTTGCTCAACACTTTACGGTAGCATACCAGGCCTGCCGGTCTTCAGCAAGGTCCTCCCGGGTCTGCCGACTGGTCTGAATATCCTTGAGTGAGGTCTTCAAGGTGTCCTTACAGCGACACTCTTGTCAGCCGTGTCTACGAGCACCTGTGGCGACCTCGCCGTAGAATAATCGCTTGCGTATGTGCTTGTCGTCCATCCTAACGATGTGGCCGCTCTATTGCCTCAGCATAGAGTGCTTACTGAGGATGCCGGTCCTTTCCATGATCTCCGTGCCGGGATCTTCTCGTGTATTTTTGTCGCCAGTATTATTCGGAAGTAGCTGAGGTTAACGTTGTTAAGTCTTCCTGTCTGGCCTTTGTAGACAGTCTGCGTCCCCATCAAGTGCTAGAGCGTCCTTAAGATAATAACCCTGTACATCGCCAGTTTTGTTTTGAGTAGGATGCCGCGACGCTTAAAAGTGTGGTCTTTTAGATGACTGAAGCCTGGGTAGCTTTGGTGATCCAAAGTACGACTTCATTGTCGATCTTTATTTTTCTTGAAGTGCTATTCCAAGGTACTATAATTTGTCCTCAGGCATGGAATGAGTTCTGTTGACATCGATACGCAGTTTGTCGTAATCATCATTTGGCAGAAGTTGGTACATGACAGCCTTATTCAGAATGAACAAAGTAAAGCGACCCCAGTTTTAAACGAACATGCTAAGAGAGTGTTACCACTCGCTGCGAATGATCGTTTCGTGCTAAAACTACCGACCAGGTTCCAAAACACTAAATACGCTGCCCTCACAGAATTACGGATTTGTATTTGGCCAACAACGATGAAATACCCCATTTCGATTCCTGATACTTAAAAAGAACATTTGAGGCTCGGCCAAATTTAAGGGCGTTCAATCTACCTCGGGGACATACCACGAGCGCTTTTACCAACGGCAACTTCTTGGAATGGCCGAGGTATGTTCTCACATTTGTATTTGGTTTGTACGTATAATACTTTACTATAAGCCTTACGGCTCTACTCTAGCGCACGCAATGATTGTTTCCAACCGAACAACAACGCTGTTGGCTTTCCAACATAAATTTAGCATTAAGCAAAGTCTCATCGAACGCCTTGGCATCCACCTTAGCCTCAACTTTTAAACGCTTCTGATCGTCCCTAAAAATTCTAGGGCAACCGGGCGAATATGACAGTCGTCTGTTATGGTAAACGAACTATCCAGCTGCCAGTAAACTATCGCTTTTCTTAAGAATCGAGCAAATGAACCCGAGTGAAATGCAGAAACTGTCGGGAAGGCGCTGAGCCAAACACTGTGACGGGGAGTCGGAAATCCTACCAGTAAATTTTTGCAGTTTCCTAGGCACACGCATGACTGGCTGTCGGTTCTTCAATTTCCTCTTCGAGGACTAGACGCATCACTGAACATTCGAAGCTGTACCTCTATTTTCCAAAATTTTGTGCAAAGACCAAATATTCCTACCACGACGTATCACGGAATCCCGTCATATCCAACAGGGACTGATAGAAGTCTGCTTGGGTGGCTTTATCGCAGCACTCGTTTACTTTCAATGAGTTCGCATCGCTGATGAGGAATAACCTTTTAAGTGAGATATACAGACTTCATTCCAAAAGGGGAAATTAGCCCTCTAACACCCTAGCAACCTAGCTAGGACTCCTTACCATAGACGTGAGAAAAAGTATACGTGCTTTGACGCCCGTCTCATGACTTCAGTGCTGCTTTTCCCCGTATTTGATCTTGTTGCCGAACTGGAGACGACAACACGGGGGATATCTCGAACTTCTTCTCGACGAAGAATAAGTCTTATGCATTTATAAACATCAAGATCTAACCGTCAACGTCAACACTAATTCTAAGTATAAAGGAAGGTTTCTGCCAGTATTTACCTTAAATTCAGGTATTCAAGCGAAGCAAAGCATACAGCTGTGAACCCGTGCAGGTGCTTAATGCCATTTTTCCGTAGATGCAGTACCACCAGACCTGGCACAAGACCCATTCTGGAGCCGAGAGGGTTCAATTTCAGACTGTTTGGATCCTCCTCCTCCGGTGGATGATACACGGCGGCTAGAGAAGACAATGAGTTCTCCGCCATCACCAGCATCTTGAGACCAGAATGTGAGAATCCAATCCGCCGTAGGTAGATGCTCACATCAGGTGGGTTTTGCTCCGGCTCAGCAAAGTTCGGCAGCGAAGTAGAAAGACGGTTACCGCGGAGCTCTATTGTATGTAAACGTGGAAGGGCATCTTCTTCCAACAAATACGCTCCGTCGTCGTCCACAAGAGAGGATATTAGATTGTCTATATTGAAAATTGTACTTCTAATCATAGTTGTATACAATAATCAGCAAAATCAGCCGATGCAGCTTATAACACTCATTCCTCTAGATTAAACTATAGAGTAATACATCGAAATGGAGGTTAGATTGCCTTAAGAATGATGCGTTTGATCGTCATGAGCCGTAGCATTTATTGTCCTGCAAGCGCAGTTGAAAAATTTTATGGTCTCTACATTAAAAATGTTTTTGTTGCCTAAGCAACCATTCGGCTATTTGGTCTGAGCAAAATTATGCTGAGGTCTTTATAGGGAACAATGGATACTGACCATAAATGAATCACTGTGCTGACAATAAGGGCTGTCCCAGCTGATAAAAACTTTTTAGACATCGAGAAATAAATGGATCTGATGAGGAACTTTATTCAAAAGCGGACAGACCTAGATGTCTCTTGCTAAAGTTGGAGTGGTAAGCAGTTAGTAATAAAAATAACTAGAATGCCATTATAATTTGCTTAGCACTAATCAATGTCACACCTACCTCAAACGCTCCTCAAGAAGCTGCTTGTTTCGAACTAAATTAGCGTACTCATAATCGATAAGACTAAATGAAATAAGTAAGATAAACATTGCTCAAAAATTGAGAAGTTAGATTTGACAATGTGATATTGGCCTTATCCGACTGTTCACGAGTATCTCCAATATCAAACTTAAGTTACTTTGCTAAAGTATACATGCTCAACAAACTTTATTTGACGTGAGTTAGATTTGAACCTCTCATTAGTATGGCTTTATTCCTAAGTACAACCATAGTCCCTTAAGGACTCAGATTATTAATAAGGCTGCAAAGGCTTCAAAAATTTCACAGAAGTGAGGAAACAATACTATGATTAAAAGGATGGGTCAATTAATGGAATTTATGCATTATCACTTACTGATAATCTTGTTGATTTAATTAGCTGTAGAGCTAGCGACTTCACTGCCAATGCAGTTTTATTCTTTTATGTAGTAAACCATAGATGGTTTTCAGAAACGAAAGCATGATACATGCAGCGTTGATGCATGACGCATCGGAGTGCATGGCTTCAAGAAACTCTCGGACATTTTTAGATGGGAAAACTCCGACGAGGAGAGTTTTGTCCCATGCGAAGGCGGGCCCAAGCCCTGCCAACACATGGCCCCGGGAGCCAGACGGGGCTAGATGGGGCCAGGCCCCGTCCAAAATTCCATCCTTTCTAATCACGTCAGTCTGCATTACATTAGACAGATTTTGCTCTGTTATCGTGAAATATAAGCTTTTTAGCTTGTACAATACGTTTTCAGTCGAATAAAATCGAGAAAATATAATTTTTCCCAAAGGCAAATATTGCCTTGTTTAAGTCGGTCATGTACACGCCCACGTGGACGGCACTAGGTGGGGCCAGACGGGGCTGGTGCTAGCAGGGATATCAAGGGTGTGCATGGCCATTTGAAACAGGTGATCTCGCCTATTAACTGGCAGTTTATGTAGAGGTACATTTTCCCGTCTGGCCACAATACACAGCGTCACAGGCATCACATGGGTACCGACAAAGACAAGGGAAACCGGATTAGCCATTTCTGTATTATCAGTACGAAACCTGATCGGTGAGCGTCCATCTGTCATATATATATGTATATATGGAGCGCAGAGGAAGGAATGAGTTCAGTAAGAAAGATAGGTGAGCGTCCCTATAGCATTATATACGCATACATACATATATGCATATGCCGAAAAACATTACGGACAAAAACAAGGGAGAATGGGATGGCCATTTCTGGCTTGTTAGCCGTTGTCAGCCAATCATGCCCAAGTTATCGTCAGTCAGCAGACCGGTCAGAGTTCGGGCGTCAGGCGTGACTATAATACAATACAGGCGATGAGGCAGCGCAAATCCCGGCCGGCAGAAATACATCACTTTGATGATGAAAACGAGCAGGTTCCAGAAACATTTCAAAATACAGTTTGGTCCATGCAACAGCCTCCTATTCATCTCCGTCTTCTTTGTGGATGGTGAAAGATAGTTAGCATCGCAACCCTATTTAAGCAGTCTTTTCGAGTGGAAGGCACATTTCGGAATGTTGGTTAGCACCTCATGAGATGGTACATCTACTGTACATCAATCGCAATGCGTGCTAATATATCGTGAAACTCCAAGGGTTCTTTTAGAACAAGTTGATGTGGGATGAATGATTTAAGCAGGCGATTAATACTAACAGTTTCTGACAAGGAGGACTCACAATCTACACAGGTTTTTGTGCCGAAGCATACTGGCTCCCTTTTGACCACGAGACGATGAACGTCGCGGACGGTCGCATAGTCAGGGGGAATGTGGCAGTCCGTTTTCGTCTGTTCTCAGCAAGCCTCTCTACCATTGTTTATTTTTGATCGGAACCGACAGGACAAAGAGCCCGTGGCTCAGTAGGTAGGGGCGTTGGACTTCTAACTAACAGGTCACGAGTTCGAGCCCGAGGTGTTTCACACTTCGGGGTTGGGTATGACTGGTTGACACGGCTAATAAGCCAGAACTGGCCATTCCAGTCTCCCCTGTCTCTATCGGCATATAAACGACGAGATATGTCTGTAGGTAATATCTACGGTACGAAACAGCAGACTCAGAAATTCGCTCAAGGTTATTCATTTTCTGCTTATAAAATTAAAGACACAACTTACGATTCAAGCACAAGATTTGCAAAATGGGTTGAGACATTTTAGGAAGTTTAGTAATCCGATTGTCATTGAGATTAAGATACACGAGGAAGGGCCACGTAACGTTAGGAATTTCCGAAATTTGATTGAATGAACAGTCCAACTTTTGCAGTAAAGTCAGTTTTTGTAGAGGCCTTATGTCCTCAATAGCATTAAATGCTAAATTCAAATCTTGAAGATGGATAAAAAATTCCATATGCTTAATATCTATGATCATTCTTCGAGTTTGTAACATAAACCTGAAAACCTACTTATCGTTGCATATAAACTTTCGGGGACAGAAAGACAATCCCTCAATACTTTCCTCTACTTCGCATAAGCCGTTACAAACATGTTCATATGTCAGCGGATTTCTTGGAGGCTTTACAAAGAGAAAATTAACAAACGAAATCAAACCTCCATTAGAGTTAGCCTGCATTTTTCTCTGAATTCAGTCATTGTTTTTGTTTCGGCGTGTCTCGTTATCTCACAAAACAAGTACTAATGTCAGTCGTCGGGACACTGTTCAGAAGCCCTCCGGAAGACTAATGTCAGTTATGTTGGAGTAGATCTTTGTTATGAACGGGTCGTTCTAAATTCCTATAGTTAACACACATTTCGGCAAGCGTTACAGGTCAGTTTGTTATATAAGACTTCAGAAAATCATTTACTGTTTAATTTTGTCGCACGCCGTTGCCATGTGACAGCGTCCCGAAAAGGAACTCAAGGCTGTCACGTTGAAAGTCTTACCTGGTCAGAAACAGTAGCTTCCATAAACAACATGATTGCACTTTTTGGGACTTTTCGAGGGTGTTATGTAAAGGTTAAAAGAAAAATCAGTAAGGAAAAGCGGAGGAGGTAGGCAGCAAAATTTTCTTGAAAAGTAACCTGAAGCGTGGCTTTGTAAAATATAAAAGGAGGGCAAAACGAAACAAGCGAAAGACTGTGAAGAAAAGCTGTGTGGAAGACTTCAAAGAATCGCAAGCATGGACCGCGAAGCAACCCCAATACTGCCTTGGACTTTTGTAGACCAGTGAAAGGTATGAAATGTTACAAAGCTATGGAAGCCAACAGAACAGGAGACGGATCCAATCTACAATGAGTAAATGGACATAGGTACGAAGCCAGTCGGAATAATAATAACTTTTGCCCAAGACCCGTGGAGTCCGTTCATAACAGGAAAGAATAACTTTTACATGAATTTTGGAATTTTAGAACAGGTATACAGAATATATACAATACTTACTTCGCAGTTATTGAATAAGTAGCATCCCTGACAGCACCAGCCCCCTCGTGCCCCGCCTCGCGGGGGGCTACGACGAGGCATGAGAGGGCTGTGAAGGGGCTGGAGAAAGGGCTGTGACGGGGAAGATCCCCGATGTTGTCCCTCGTACCCCCTCACCGAAAAAAATGCGCAGGAGGACACCTGGTATTTGTCGTTTTTGCCCACTCCCTGCCATATCAGACCGTCTGGCGTTACTGCGAAGCCCCGAACCCCTTATTATTTGTGTTACAGTCCAGATCTCCCCTTTACTATACCGATTTTCCCCGGTATTCATGCTCTACCATGACCTTATGCCCTCTTGCCAACCGCTTATTGCCTAATTTTTGTTGTTTTAGTCCAGCCCCTTTCGAAAGCTGATTTCCCCTGCGATCGTTAGCAGACCTTCACGTTTTACTGCGAATCCCCGAAAGAACCGAATTGGTCAGCACCCTTTAACGCCATTTATTGTTTGTATAAAAGTTATTAAACGAAAAATATAAAAACGTGGTTTGTACAAGTAGTCATGCTTCGTCATGGGACATATTTGGTAGGCCGTACGTGTCGGTAGCGGGTTTCCGCAAGAAAAGAAAGCAGAGAGTCCCAATAATTGGACGGCAAGAAATAATACTACTGAAGCATGGCATTTTGGTAGTATATTTGATTATGTGAAGCAGTATGAAGTTGAGTAGCTCGCATATAAGTCGGTTTTAAAGATATAAAAAATGCGTACTTTCAGTGTCTTCGGAAGGAGACTGTGTTAGGTATGGTTCGGCTGCAAGTAGGTTAGAACGACTCAACGCAATTAATTTACCCTCGTAGTATTGTCTCAACGAGTTACTCTGCCACCGTAACTGTCTCGCTCCCCGTGGAAACAGTCAATTGTGCTCCTGCGAACTGAGTCTATGGTGCAATTGGAGAAGGCGGCGTGCTCAAGAATTGCAGCTGAACAAGTAATCTTAAATATATAACGCTCCAATAAGAAGGTCATAAAGGGGACTGCCGACAAAGGACTACTTATCTCTTGACTTATCCCAGCAGAAGCGGAGACCGGTACGGGATGTGGAACTGCTAAGCGTTACCATATCTACTAAGAATGTCCGATCATTGACGCTTTCGGTGGTGTACCGTTCACCTAACCATACTTCTGACCAAGATCTCATGCTCATATCCGAACTGTACCAAGCTAGCGAGAAGAAAGACGTCCTTATCGTTGGGGATTTTAACGCTCCTGGCATTGATTGGCTAACGTGGACTGCACAAGGGCCGCAAGACAGTTTTAATCACAAACTACTACAATGGGCAACGGACAAACTTCTCTGCCAGAATGTAACCTTTGGAACACGGGTCAGGGAAGGGCAGCAGTCGAACTGCCTTGATCTTATTTTTACCCGAGAGGAGGAAAACGTTTTAGATCTGCAGGACCGACAGCCATTAGGGTCAAGCGACCACATCACGCTCTACTTCGAGTACTCACTGTTTTACAAACCCACCCAACCCGAGAGGTGGGAGAGAAACATTTGGAAAGGGGACTATTCTCTCATGAGGAGGGAAGCGGCAGCTATATCATGGGAGACTGAATTGCATGGTCGAGCAAACGATAACTGGAATACTTTCAGTTCCTTACTGAAAGAGATTGTTTATTCCAATTGTCCTCTCAGAAGGAAGACAATCACAAACCGCCCAAAATGGATAAATCCGGACTTGAAGGCCTCTTTCAGAAAAAGGAATCGTCTGTGGAGGCGTTACAGAATAACTGGCTCCGACGAACACTTACAGGAATATTAGCGGCAACGAAACGTCTGTAAAAGTGAGGCCTCAAAGCTGCGAAAGAAATGTGAACTAAACATACTCCGAAATTCGTTGGAGCATCCGAAAATTTTATATGGTTATATACGAAGTACTAAAAGGACTCAGGAGCTAATCCCTGCCCTCAGGTCTGCAGATGGCAAAGTGGAGATTGATGACCAGGTTAAAGCGTCCCTACTTTCCGACTTCTTTCAGTCCGTCTTCACCCGAGAACCTAGTGCTATATTTGCCCATCCCTCTATTCGCCAACCAACCTTTCCTCCCAGTACCCTTCCCCATCCTATCCCCTCCCTACCCTCCTTAACCGAGGAACCACTCTTTTCATCTACCATTGTTAGGGCCGAGCTACTCCGGCTGAAAACTGCCAAATCGCCTGGCCCAGATAGAATTCCCGCCCTAGCACTTCGCGAACATGCTAATGAACTGTGTAAACCCTTATCCGCAATATTTCAAAAGTCATTTGAAGACGGCGAGCTACAGGAAGAATGGAAGTGCGCACTGATTACTCCGATCCATAAAGGAGGCTCAAGACCTGACAGCGGAAATTATCGTCCTATCAGTCTTACTTGCATCGCGTGTAAAATAATGGAACGTATTATCAAAAGACACTTGATGAAATACCTGGAACAGAACGAAATATTGTGCGATGCCCAACACGGCTTTCGTCCAGGGCGCTCCTGCCTAACGAGTGTTCTTTACTCACACGAGAAATGGACACGAGCTACCGATAAGGGTTTTCCAGTAGATGTCATATTTTTTGAATTCAAGAAGGCCTTTGACAGTGTCCCACACAGGCTTCTTTTGCAAAAGATCTGGGATGTAGGGATTCAAGG